TTGCACGCCACAATTTTTATGTGTCCGTGCATGAGGCCTGGACGGTTCTAAGGGGAAACATTTTCTTAAAATTCCAGCTTTTTAGTTTTTCTCATCCCCGGGCTAGCAGTTTTGCCACCAAAGTTCACATATTTCCGTATATGAGACCCGGACGGTCCCATAAAACTGAACTTGAAATCTTCTAGTCACACGTGAATAAGGACATCCCCTTAAAATTCCAGCTTTCTAGTTTTTTTCGTTTCCAAGTTATCGGTTTTTCCGCCAAAATCGCCCGTATGTGAAACGTAGGCATGCGTAATAATTGATATCGTATTTCTGTGGTCGCTTATAGCCGGGGGACACACTGGCAAGATTTCAGCATCAAGGCGTGCGTGGTTGCTGAGTAGAAATATCTGGACAGATGAGCACACACACACACGCACTCACACACACACCCACACACGCACGCATACAAATACACACACAACACAGACACACACACACAACACAGACACAGGGTGTCGCAAAATATGTTTATAGTGACGGTAGCATTGCACGGCAAAAACGCATAAAAAGAAAGAAATGGGATGTGAATAGTTGATGTAACAATGAAGAAGGTTTTCAGATCCAGGGAGTGTTGCAGCAGACGCAGGATCGTTTCCAGCAAATGTCTGACCAGATTATCGGTCGCATTGATGATATGACAAAGCGCATTGATGAACTGGAAAAGAACATAACTGATCTGATGACCCAGGCTGGTATTGAGCCTGAGATGTAAATTCGATGGCAAGTTTTCTGATTTCTTAGTACCGGGGATTGCCGAAATCACCACGTGCTTTTACGACTTCTTTAATATACAGTGTAGGAAGCGTACGGGAACAGCTTCTGCCAAATTCTTTGCTGCTTCTCCCCACAAAATATCGGCACAGACAGCTCGTCGCGGTTTGACTGTGCAATCGGCCAGACAGTCGAAAAAATGTGAGTACGAAATACCGACAGCTTCTTGCATGCAGGGGGAACATTGATCCCATTTTTGTGCGACTAAAATTGGGTAGTGCAAACCACTAATGAACCCAACTAGGTTGATAATGTCGTGGAGATGAAACATTTATGTAGACAGTAGCTTGAGTCTTGGCATGGCGAGGAACATCGGCGAAGAAAACAGAATCGGCCCGTGCCTTGCGCCAACTTTGGTCTTTTTTGCGACGTAAATGGATAATTGAGAGCAGAAGGCTACTAAGGATTCCGAGCAGCGGAAGGATGCCGCCACAGGACGGTCTGAACTTCTCGATATGCAGCGGACTTGAAATGAATTCATAAAATCTGCAGCAAATTGAACAAATATCACGCCAACTGCTCTTCAGTGAATTGCTTAAGTTTTAAAAACGGACCACCAAAATTTACTATTTTTTTGTTGCAGGTGCGTTGCAAATGGCTTTTACTGTAATGGCATATTGAAGCTTTCTACCAAATGTGCACGAAAACCGGCTGACGCTTTCATTCATCATCTGTTTTTTTTTCCCCTCTTTAAACAATTTTCGGCGTATATGCGGAAGGGTATACATTATCTTCGCTTAGAGCATAAATTATAAAGGTTTCTGGTTTCTTAGTTCCTTGCTCTCTGAAACAAAAAATTTAAATCATCCATAGTACTTTATTTTCCAAAGAATGAAAGTGTATAATACGGGAAAAAATGCTTAGCTTTCTCGGTGCTTCGATTCGAATTTATGATGAAAAGCGGTGATAACTTGAATTTGTGATTTTTTTGTATTTTGCTTCCGAGTGATTGTTCCAATTTTGTTTCTTCGTAAAAAGAATCCATTCACTCAATGCCCGTGTTCCATAAATACTGCCTTTTTCGCTTGCTGCAATTTGCTTTGACACTCTGTACAGCTTGAGTCTACAGTTTGAGGTTTTTTGAATTTTCTTCTGGCTACTGTTTTTGTCGAAAAATTTTTTGGGCTGTATAACGAGGGCCGGAATATTTTTTTGGAAATAGAATGCCGTGGTCTTTTCTGTCACACAGTCTTCCCTTTAAGATTACAATTTTTCCGTCTTAATACCTGGAATCTCTCCTGAAAAAAAAAAAAAAAAAGCAGAGTATATAAATACGGCTTGCTTCTAAACGGTACAGCGCTGATTGACCTGGGTTCATTATTAGCGCGACCTGTCATATCCACGGTTGTTAACAATGGTTCAGGCGGTTCCTGTATTGGCTTGCATGGTATAGCGTGAACGAAATTCGAGCGTGCGCGTGTTTGCATTTCTGCATTCGCTTTTTCGTGCCTTTGTGTGCACGCATATGTATGTGTGTACTTGTGCATGTGTATATGTGTGCGCGCTTGTGCATATGTGTGTGCGCGGCTGTGTGTGGTTGCGTGTGTGTTTGTGCGTATGCTTATTGTGAATTTCAGTGTATATGCTTGTACTTGGGTGTATATATCTGTGTATTTGCTCGTGTACGTTTGTGTATTCGAGCATGCGTCTGTGTGCATTTGTGTGCGTGCGGATGTGGGTGTGTGTGTGTGTGTGTGTCTGCGCATGTATATGTAGATATGTGTATGTCGCTGCATGTATACGTCTGTGTGCGTGTTTGTGCGTGTGTACACGTGTGCAAATGCTTGCGGCTGCATGTCTGCCTGTATTTTGTGTGCGTTTGTGTGATTTTTCTGCGTTTTTTGCAGCTATGCAGTGCAAAAACGCATATTGTGGAGGGGTTGTCTTTGTGTATGTATGTTTGTATGTGTGTGTGTGTGTGTCTGTGTGTTCGTTTGTAACGAGTTTTCATCTCGAGATCCGCAAAAGCTACAAGGTTGAAAATTTGGTGACTTAATCTACACGTGCGCGCGGGC